CGGTACCGCGGTCGCCCCCCGCCACGTCCCCACACGCCCCCCCCCATCCCAGCCCGGCAGCCGCCCGTTTTGGGGGGGGGGAGGGGGGGGGCGCCCAGCACGGAGCCCCGAGGTCTCGCAGCCCCGGGGCGGAGGGACAGGACCTGCCCCCCCCGGGGGTCCCGGCCGCCTCGCTGGCAGAGGGCTCCGCAGGTAACGCGGTTGCCCCCCTCCCCTCGCTTGGAGAGCCAGGCGGACCCTGCCCCACTGCTCTCCAGCATCTCACGGCGGCTTTTATTTAGGTTCCGAAAGGAAACTCTGAAAACTTTTCAGCCTCTCACCCCCCATCTCTCTTCCGTACCCAGCGGGGAGCGGGGGGAAACCACGCGGGGCTGCTGCCGCCAACGGCCCTTCGGCGGGGCCGGGGGTGAAGCTGCAAAGTTACTTTTTTTTTTTTTTTTTTCCCTTGGCTCTTTCTTCCGCGGGAGTTTTCTGCGCTTGCAGCAGGTAGCCGCTATGAATCCCTGTCTGCCGCTCGCCCCCTCCTGACCCTCCTTTGGCTAGGCTGATTTTCCCCAAACATACACACATTACCCACACACGCTTATATGTACAGATGCATATATATATATATATACACATCCATACGCGTATTACACACAGAAACTCGGGGCAGGGGACCGCCGGGAGGCACCGGCGCAGCCCCGATCGCGGCGCAATCCGCAGGGCAGAGCGGGGCAGGCAGCCCGCACCCCCCTCCCTGCCCCCCCTGCCCGGCCCTTTTCCCCACGGCCACGCGTTAGTACTCCCCGCGTGGGGGTCTCCGTGCTTTACAGCCCCGCCACCTAAACTTTCCAAAGCAGCAGCTAAGGGAAGGTTCTCTCCTCTTTCCCTCTCTAACCTCGCCATCGCCGCCTTCTCTTAAGGGCAGAGGACATTTTAATTGAGGGATTTTATTTTTTTTACGCTCCAGTTACAAGCTCGAAACGGTATTTCACCGCATGCCAACGGTTTGATGAAAAATATTGACGTGTCCAGCTGAGGGGGAAAACCCGCAAACGCATACCTATGCGGAGACACCGAAAAAGCCCCTGACTCCCCTTCCCTGTCCCGTCCCCCCCCCCGCCCGAAGATGGAGACGGACCTTCGCCTTTGGCTGTCAAACGCGAGATGGGCGCTCCTTTAAATCATTTCGGATTTTCTCAGCGTGAGAAAAGAGATTCCCAGACGGACTTTGTGAATTGATTTTACACACCTCCATCAGTCCCTGATAGAAAACCGCCCGTTTTCTCTCCTCGCGCGGGGGAAACAAATGTCCGGGGCTCGCCTCACACAGATACCGGTGTCGGATCGATGGGAAGCGGGATGCCCCGTTGTGATACGCAGACGGTGCGAAACATCCACCCCTAAACCTCTCTCTCCAGCGATGCCGGGGGAGAGCACCTAACGTTGCTGCAGGCACACGACGCCGGGCTGGACGTACCCTCTATGTGCGTGGCCGGGAGGTGCAAAACTGCACCCCGAGGCTCCTTCCCACGGGCTGTGCCCGGCCCCGCGGGGCACGGAGCGCTGCAAGGCCCCCGGTGGGTAGCGGCGGGGAGCTGCCCCGCGGCCCCTG